ATTGTTAACTGATGTTGCGAGACGAGATGTCTTCAACAAGAACAATGACCAGTTATGAAGTAGTGTTTGTTACAACTGTCGGTTGCAGACTGCTAGTTTGTTAGATGGAAGTCAAATTTAAGAAAAGAAGCCCTGCATAATTTTTAGTAGCGGTTATTTTCAGCTGATGTTGCGAAGCGAGATGTTTTCAACACAGAAAGCGATTTAACATTCAGGAATGTAATCAATAAACTTAAAATACACGTTACCATTGTATCATTGTACTTTGGGAGGGAGTAGCAGAGCTGAACTTTTAACTCTTTTGTGTAAATATGCTAGTGTTATGTAATATACCAATCAGTGTGCTAGGAACCGCATAAATCCAAGCTATAACGTTGTCCATTCAATCCCTTTGTTTGTAAACCAGTTAGACGGGAGTGGATAACTCGTGCGTCCGGACTAGAATAAAACTTCGCAGGGCCAAATGAAATTCGATGTTCCGAATATCGTGGTATGCAATATGTGTGGAAACCCGTTGACACCTTCCGTAAATTTTGGGCACCAGTCATTTCGCTAGCCTTTGTGTAGCGGCATGGCCACTCAAAGGCAATCATTCAGCTACCACGAAATTATAATCAGTGATAATTGAAATACATGTGGTTGATACGAAAACGAAAAGGTACCTTATGTATGGAGTCGGAACTTTGTGAGTTACAAAGTGGCCAGCTCCCAGTTGGCTTGATAACTCAGTTGGTAGAGCACTGCACCGGCATCCCAGAGGTCATGGGTTCAAATCCAGTTTAGACCTGTAATATTTTCAGGCTTTTTCAGGCTTTTCTGCTTAGTCTAAGCTGTGCGTATAACTGCGATGGCCAACAATGTCTTCACAACACAGATTATTTGTCATGAGACAAAAAAATATCGGTAAAAGTCGGTATGAAACAAAATTACAGACACCATCTAGTTTATTTGGTTGAGATGATACATCTCAAACATGAAAGTGTCAATTGTTTTAAAATATTCCGTCAGACGTAGCATTGTGCGGCATTGCTCCTCAATCAAAAGAGTCCATGTGCTATTACTTTGCTGTGGCGTTAACTTTGGTTTTTTTACGTCCGGAAATTCGACAAAATTGTTCGAAATTTGTTGGCTCTTAAGTTGGGTGTAGTTTTTGGGTTTTTTCGGTGGTTTCCCGGGAGACCGAAATTCTCCTGAATCCGGGAACAAGAGAAATGAGCATGAACAACCCTCGGTTGCGGCCGGCCGCAAACGTGGAGATTATATTTTGACGCCTATGAGAGGCAGCCATTCCACATACACCCTTCCTTTCGATTAATATCCGCTTAATTCACTCTTCTCTCTGTTAAGTCTGATTAATTTGTGGTTTTTGGTGAAAACCGATTACCAATCAGAGCATGCACTCAGGGAAAATTTGGCAACTATTATTGACATCACACTGTTGCAGGTTTTGCTTGAAAAATCCATCTTCCAAATCGATCCAAATTTCTTTTTGCCGCGGATAAACGGGCATCGCGTCTCGTTAGTTGTAACACGCACTAACTTCCAGTATCCACCGTCTTCGTCCTTGATAAAATCTTGGTACTAAGGCCCGGTTCATACGTCGCATTTCTGCCTTGTCGAATTCGGTTCAACGAATTAGATTCGACAGAAATTCGATGTCTGAATCGGCTGCCGCATTTCTGCCGCACGTTCGACTGGTCTTGTCGCATTATCCGAGAGAAGTGCGACACCGATTTAGACGTCGAATTTCTGCCGTGTCGAATCTAATGCATACATCATGTTAATTTACTGAGCATGCGTAAATGTTTTCCCGCCAAAGAAAAAGGAGAAACTTGGCCATTCTCGACCCAATGCAACCTGAGCACATTGCAACACACACTCCTTCATTGTCAACCTTCTCCTTCTCGTTCCATTGGCGGACAATTTTTCGCAAAATTAAAGTCCTTCGTCGCTCAG